TTAGTTTTATCCAGTCTATCATTACTGAACTGTGAAATCAGTGATTGCAGAGTAAAAAAATTTCGACTCATTTTGCCATCTTTTGACTTTTTCTGCTCAAGTAAGTGGACATGAACATGATGTGCATTTTCAATAGAAATCTTCAAAAATTCCTTTTAATCAGCCAAATTCTCCAATTGCATCCAAATAATTAAAGTTTAAAAAACATTGATTATAGTCAGACTATTTTCTTGTTTCTACTCTCAACATCTTCTGTTTTTGTCCATCTCCAAATACACGTCCTACGTACTCGATATATTTATCATTTCACTCAATACTTTCACTACTGAATATAGCTTTTTTGCTGCATTGTGTGGATAATTTGCTATCATTTGATTTCGCTGTCATGAAAAAGCAGAAATCTGATGAAGAAAGTGTGTCATTCCCTGGAGAATATCTTGCTAGAAGGAACATCCAAGTAACTTTCAATTCTGCATTGTAATCCATAGAGTTTGGTTCAAATTTGAACATAGATTACGGCGGCACTTCTCTTTTCAGTTCACTGCTTCCATCTTTATTAATAAATAATCTTACATAATCTCCATTACATGTTGAGTCAATGTTCTTATTCAGTTCAATTTTTGTGCAAAAATTATAGAGAGTTTGAGTGATTTTTTTTTGATCATTTTCGTCCTTGTTTATTAAATTCGCAACTCTTTTTGCTTCCATAAATTCACGGTCGCTATTGAGAAATAAATTGCGTTCGCAAACTGTGGTAAATATTTCTTTTAAATTATATTTTACTCATTTTCAACATGTATTAACAATCATAACTTTCAGTAAATCAGCAATTTCGGTATATTTCAAGTGTGTTAAATAAAGCTTAAAACAGCGGCATATGTTTCGTTGTGTCTTTTATCAGCAGTTTTAAGGAAATCAAAATTTTAACGAAAATCGTCTTGACTGCTCATGTGTGCAGTAATTTGCATTACAGTTGGATTAGCAATCACACTCATTTCTCGCTGAATTAAGCGGATTGCATTAGTTTAAAATTTAAAATTGATTGCTCTAATAGTTGTAGACAAGAATGGCTACTTCATCAACAAAGAAAATTATTGTTTTGTGATTTAGTTAATGAGATGGGGCAATTTATAAGAGCCGTTATCCTTATGCATTGTGACATTTCTCATTACAATATCAAGAAGCAGTTGTTTGTAGCAGTTGAGGAGAGTTCATTATTAGACAAATGGCCATTACTAACTTTCGGACATGAACTTATCAAATAAGCAAGAATGTCTTAATTTAATGTGACGTATTTTCTATAGCAGGATTTTTTCTGCCTTAATCGTTCCTATATATGCAATTGTATTTTCTTTACTTAGCATCCTTAGTATTAAAAATTTTACCTGCTAAAGGAAATGTTTAGCATATTTTATACTGACAAAGAGTAGTTCAATCTGCAAAAGACTCATCCTGATGAGTTCAATTTGACGTTTACGAAACCTATTGCAGGAAAAATGAGTGACAATTTCTTTTCATCACTTAACATAAACAACTATTAGATTAATGCGACCTACAATTAATATCACAATTGTCACCAATAAAAATATACAATTTGAAGCATTGATAAGTTAGTAAACATCATTATCATTTGTAGATGATTGCATAAATAGCATTTTATAGAACCAATCATTGCTAATGTCAAGCTGAAAAGGCTTTCTTTCAGAAAGCAGTTCACATACCTAATCTGTAAATAGTATAATTTAAAATTCGTTTATTATAGTTAGCTTGGCAATAAGCCCTCATCAAACCCTAAGACTCACTGAACTATTTTTATTTTGCTTTCTGAATTTTAATATTTGCAACTTTTCGGGCAATTTCTGCATTGTTATTAGCGGATAATATTTCATACATAGCTTTATTACTTTAATCGTTTATTGAAATGAGCGGTTATTTTCCTTTATGACTTTCAATCTCATTTTTAATTTCTGATTGTCTTATAATATACTTATGATCTGTGGATAAACCTTTAGTGACTATCATCTCCTAGTATTTTTGATATTTTTACCTGTTGCTTACAATAATTTTACTTATCTTATATTTTTGATTGGTGCAATCAACGATTGATACACCAATTTCGTCATTTCTTAGTTTGCTCGTTGATAATAATGTAACGTTGGTAAATTTTTTCGTAGTTATGTCATCACTGAAATGATTCTGTCTAAAGTTTTTTTCCAAAATATAAGAAATTAAGCAGGTTTCGCAGGAGGTCTATTAAAAAGTTCAAGGTGTATTGAATTTTCTTGAGCCATCTCACATCTTAATTGCACTACATTGTATTTATGAATTAAACTGCTTGTAGAAACATTACAGATGCTTGGAGCATCAAGTAGTGAAGAAGATGATGACGACCATCTGATCAACGATAACGATGATGCCTCTGAAGTGAATGTTTCCTTCTTTGAATGAGTATCGTTATATTTTTGAAGATGATAACCAGAAACTTTAGATATAGCACTGAGAAATTTTAAACTGAAATATTGTTGTGATCATGTTTTTATTCACTAGCAGATCCTTTGTCTTCCACGCCGACAGTTTCCATTGTCAAGTTCACCGCGTTCCATGTCTCCAGCTCCTTCAGATTCCGCTTCACAAGCTAATTCACTTCATCGTGGAGATTCGCTGCAGACAAACAGGAGGAAAGATTCGGGATCATCGTATAATGCGATGATGATTAAAACGGTGAGCACTTGAATCTGTGAAGAAACTTTTTGGAACAGCTGTCAAATTTTCGCACTCTTCATTAATTGTTTAAATATGATAAAATAATCTTGAAAACTAAACTTTCAGAGTCAAAGCAGGCAACTCACTCCGCAACCTTTGACCAGATCAGCTTTGAATCAGTCTTCGCAGGAAATTTCAGATGATGAAGAATATTACGCAATAAATGAGCAAAATACTCCGGCACATGGAACTTCTGATTTCACTCCAAAGATAAGTAAAGAAGAAGAAGAGAGGCTAAAGTAAAATTTGTGTTTATTATATGTATATTAATTTATTTATGTGCTAATAATTGTATATTATCGTCATTGCAGAACTGAAGTTGAGGAGGAAGAACGTAAAAAAAAACTACAACTCTATGTTTTTGTGGCAAAATGTATTGCCTACCACTTCAATGCAAAACAGCCGACTGATATGATAAGGCTGCAACTTAAGGTTTTGCTTATCATTTTAAATGTGTGTTTTTAAAAGGTGCTTGCTTGTCACTTTAAAAGCAACCAAGGCAGCAGATATTTAACTTGTATCCATTTAAGCGCAACATCAACAATTTCGACAATTGAAAATTACAGGATTTAGGCTGATATAATTATCTCAACATGAATTTAATCGCACATTTTAGGTAACAAGGCAAGAACTCTTCAGGATTAAAGATCGCTTCCAGTCATTTTTAAAAGGCGAAACACAGATTGCAGCAGATGAGGCTTTCACAAAAGCAATTGAGTCTTATTTCGAGGTGTGTAATGATATTTTATTTTGAAAAGAGTGGTTTATTTCCTGGTTTAAATAAATCTTTTTATATTGACATCATTAATGGCATTTACCTAGACATTTCAAAAAATCTTTGCAGGTTTTTTTAAAATCTGAAAGAGTGCAAAAAGTTGTTCAAGCTGGTGGTTTTTCACATCATGACTTCAGAGAGGTGAAATTTTTTCGATCAATCACGTTTCAGTTTTATCACGGATATTTGATTTATTGAATGTAATTACATATCAATTTTGTGGCTTACACTACTTAATAATGACTAGAAATGTTTTAGGTTTTCCGATGTAACACGGAGAAAATGATCACAAATTTACCGGAATTAGATGGTGTATCAAAGGAAACAATGCTCAATAACTGGTTGGCTAAGTTTGATGTTATTGTCCGTGGAGATGAGGACACACTTCAATCAAGACAAGCAAGGTTGATCTATGCTGAGTAGTAGTACTTTTTGATAGCCAGCACTAATTCAGAAATATTTATTTACTCCCGCTCTTGTCTTTTTTATTTGCTGTGAAATCTTAAATGATATTGTCATTTATTTTTTTAAATCTCGAATCTCTTCAACTTTAAAGCAGATTGTAACAATAAAATATTGTTCAGAGGTCGACTACGAGGACTGAATCAGTCCAATGCAGGACTAACTCTTCTCAAAGACCAACTTTACGATATTTTTCAACAAATTCTATCTGTTAAAAAATTTGAGCATCAGATAATATTTAATGCTTTACAGGTTTACTTTTTTTTGTGCTGATTGTTTAAGAAAAGTAATGCACTAAAAACTAGGATTTTTATTTACTTTTGCGATTAGTTCACGTATAAAAATAAATTTTTTTAGTTGGATAATCCGGATGAGCAAGCAGCAGCTATTCGACGAGAAGTAGCTACAAAGGAAGAAGCATTACGAGATATGACAAGAGTATGTATTGAATTTTATGGTTTTAAATCATTTTATGCATGATACAAAACTGTTCAAAATGAATTAGGTAACATAATGTATCAGTCATAAGATGGTCAAATGAAGTCAATAGATGCTTAATTCTACAAAAATCTGCTGCAAAATATTTGCTACAGATGAAAAAACTAATGCCGAAATTTGTGGTAAAAGACATGGAAACCTTATTCATTGATGAAACTCGTCAATCGATCAATCTATTGATCAGTAATTTGGAATCAGTACCCGTAACTCCACGTGGTCAGGGTGTTATTTCACGAAAAAAAGATTCTAAAGGAAGAAGCAGGTGAGAATTGCTTATGAAATAATACTAATTTTCATGGATTTAGAATGAATGAAATTGAAAAAGTATTTTTTTCAGTTTACTGATCACTAAGTTCATTATTTTTGAAGTCTCTGTAATGTATCTTCATTCAAAATATTCAGTTGTTCTCATTCATTGAAAAAGAATAGAATATTCAAGTGCAAGTTGATTTCCGTGACTGCTTATAAAGCTGTTCATCACTCACAAAACTGTGTATGAATAGGTTCTGAAGCTTGGCATATTCCCGTCAACTGCTATCCCTTTTGCAAACATTAAAAAACATTATATCATATTTGTGAGGCATTCGCAGTTTTTTAATTAATATTATCTGTTTCATTTGACTTGTAAACCTTAATTTTTTCTTTCATTCTGCTTGCCATTTTGAAGAATAAGTCAAGATTTGTTATTTATTGAAACGCTTTATATTAATAAATGAATTTTAAATTCTCTTTCAGTGCTTCTGCAAAAGCCAAAAGGTTTGTTTTGTCTTCATTTTGACATTTCTCTTCAAATTATCCTCTTTTTATAAGACATCTGTTTGGCTGCACACTCACTCTTTCTTCCTTAAGTTTGTACTGCACTAATGAATGGATCTAAATATTTCTATCGTGTTTCTGTTACATAAATAGACTGAATTCGAATAATTCTTTTTGATATGTAGAAATACTGTAATTTTCAATTTTATCATTCCATATTCTTTCACTTGTATTTATCATTGAAAAAAATGAATTTTTGATTTTTGTTCGAAGTTGTTAAAGTTGAATGAATCTGGGATTAATGATTACTTGACATTTACCCACGGATCTTATCAATTTTACGATTGCTGTGTTGTGTTTCGTCAAATTCTCTTTTGCTTTGTTGATCGTATCATCAATTAGAAAGTATTAATTCAATCATTTTAGATCGCGCAGCATCGAAGATCTCTCTCTTTTTAACAGGTTTGCGTTCACTGCACTGCGTTCAGCAGTTTTAACTTCTGCAATATGTTGCCCATTTTTTCTTCTACAATCTAATTTTTTAATTAATTACGAAATTAATGAATGAATAAATGAATGCATTTAGTTATTTATTTATTTTATATTATTTGTTTATAATAATTTATATGTATATTTTTAACTGCAGTATTTAAAATTACTTTGCATGCGCAACTTTATCTCTCATCCTCATATCACTTTTTTCACTAAATAAAAAAGTGGTGGACACTTGACAGTTTGCTATCTTTTTAATAATGTGTCTTTATCTATTTTGTTTTGGCCTTTCTGTTTACGCACATTGAACAGATGTCCTGAAATAGATATTAAAAAAATTTGTAGTAGCACACAAATTTAGAAAATAAACTGCTCTCATTTTTCCACTTTCAATCATTTGTGAAGGAGAAATCTGTACATTGTGAAGCAAAACTTTTTAAATTGATGTGCGGGAGTAATTATATTTGAATATGTAGAGCTTTCAATGTCAGTGATTATTTTTTTAATTTTTATACTGTAGTGAATAAAATAAGCGGTTTTATTATAACTAGCAGTAAATTCGAAAATTTGAGAATTTGCCACAACCATTATTACCATTTCAACGGCAAGATTTTATTTTAGTTACTTGTTACCAAAAAAAGATATATTTATAGACATTCACCACACACTACTTTCAGAGATGACGAGCAAAAGAAATTTGTATAATCTTTTTTTTAATTTTATGCAGTCATTGATAAGATAATTTCTTGTAATGTCATGATAGAAACTATATTAAAGTCATTTTTTTTTTCTTTCTTAATGGCTGCACACTTTTTGCTTATGCCACAGAAGCTGAAGTCGAGCATAATTTCGCATTTCTATTTCACACGAGTTCTTTTCTTCACAAAATTCTTTTAAATGTTTGCAGTCACTTTATGCATACATAAAGTAAATTACCTTTCATCGTTACCATAAAAAGTGTGAAGTGGGAAAATATATCTTATCAGCCAGTGTTAATTTTCATCTTTCCGTTAAAAGTTTCGCTTCCACTATTTATGATTTGTTTCTTCTTTGCTAAATACTATAGCTTCACTGTAAATTTTTGTTTCAAGAGTGCTTTTCTGTGGTAATTGTTTATAATTAGCTTGAAACGACGTACCAGCTCAAGTTCTCTGAATAAGGCCGACAGCGATGACGATGTTTCGTTGACCAAAAGTGATGTAGTGCTTACTTTTAATATGGAGGTAATCATTCTGGAATTTAAAGATTAATTTGAAATTGAAATTCATACTTTCATGTAATAATTATGTCATTATGAAACTCAGTCCATATTTGTTACAAAGATAGTGTCTTATCAATTAGTTCTCAATATCATTAATTAGATTATATTTGATGAGCTTTAGCTGTACAGAAAAGGCTCGATCTGTTAACATATTTACTTTAATTTTTTTATTTGATAGTTACGTTTTTGTGTGCTACCATGGTTTGTATTTATAAAACTTTCATTTCATAGGTTGTCGTGATGGAGGTACAAAATTTGAAATCTGTAGTTTCTAATAAACATGTTTATTGTACTATGGAAGTCGATGGTTGCCCAAAGTTACAAACAGATCGCGCAGAAGCTTCAAAACCATCGTATGCTTTTTCATTTTTTTTTTCATGCAGTAGTTTTGAATGAGTATTCTTAAAGGTGCACTGTAATTTCACATTGTTTGCTTATCGGTCTTGGTTATTGACCATACTCTGTTTCATAATTAATTCCATTTATTTTTTTCGAATGTTAAAACCAAGCAATTGCTTTAAATAATCTAGTAAGCTAATTTTATATGCTCATTGATGTTTGCAATGACGTATAGAAAGTGAACACTTGAACGTTTTCATATTCCCTGGAAATATTTCTGCAAGAAAGTTCTTCACGTTTGAAGAGAATAGTTATATTCACGACAAAATTTGCAACTCAGAAATATCGTATCTTTTTATCAGAGTTCTCAGTTTTTTCATTTTTAGTTGGGATACACAAGGGGACTTTGCTACAAAACATCCTCTTCCAACAGTAAAAGTAAAACTTTTCACAGAAGTAAAGAGTTTGGTCGCTTTTGAAGACAAAGAACTTGGGAAAGTAAGACATGATGAAAATCTATCGATATCGTATCAATATTTTTTGAATCCAATTGCTCTTTACAAACTGAATGAATACTTTTGCTATCATTAAGTCACTTTCTTTATGATTTAACGACTATTTGTTCTTTTTGATGTTATAACCATGAAATTTGTGTCAAGTTGAGTTATACTTGAATCAGTTTTTCTTATTTTTAAACACTTTGATAATATGATTTTTAGTGTAGATTTATTTAGGTAATAATAAGACCAACTCCAAACTGCTCAAAAGCCCCTGAGTGGTACAATATGACAGTACCAAAGAGTAGTGTAGACACCAGTCTCAAAATCAGAATAGCAATTCGAGTTGAGAAGCCTCCTAATCTAAAATATTGTGGATATTGTTATTCTCTAGGGAGGATAGCATGGAAGAAATGGAAAAAGCGATTTTTCTGTTTAGTACAAGTAAGTACTGAATTGTTCAAACACTTTATTCAGAATAACCAGATTACTTACGATAAAAATTGCTTTCTAACTTTTCTTTGGAATTAATATACGTTTTACTGATATTACATTTTGTCACTCGATGGGAAACTTTTCATACTTATCTGGCAGTCTTTAGATTCTTAATATGAACTCTTTGTGCTTAGGTTTCTCAGTATGCATTTGCGATGTGTAGCTATAGGGAAAAAAAAGCAGATCCTACAGAATTCATTCAACTTGATGGTTTTACAATAGATTACATGCCAGAGTCCGATCCAGGTTTGTTATTTAAAAGTAGACTATTTCTATAAAGAGAAGATAGAAATTCTTAGGAATGCATCTAATGAACTGCTGACCAGCTATCTGATTTATTTTCAGATTTATATAATCAAGGTGGTAAATATTTTTTCACAGCAATCAAAGAAGGAGATGAACTGAAATTTGCAACAGATGACGAGAATGAAAGGCATTTATGGGTGCAGGTTAGAATTTTATATTCACAACAACTTAATATAACTTGTAAACTTTTCACTTTATATTTTTTATTGCAAAGTATTTAGGAGTTACGTTGGTTACCTGGTTTTTTTATTATGTAGCATTTAGTGTTGATTTTTTGTTCATAGGAAAAAAATATTTGCAGGCTTTATATCGAGCTACAGGTCAAGCTTACAAACCAGTTCCTCCAAAACAGTCATCTGCTGCACCATCAAAAGCTCAAGGCTTTGCTGACAAGGCCAGTAAACATGGTATGGATGAGTTGATTCAAGCAGATCCAATCAATTTCGGGCATGATCATCTTTTCAGTAAATTACAATCCCTTACTTTGGATTTCCGACTGGGCGAACCTATATGCTCATTAGTAAGTTTGCTTCTGTTTTTTTGTTACTGAAATGCACTGAGTAGTGATATTGTTTGTTATGTGTGTTATGTGTGATAATTTAATACTAGAATTCTGTCACTCGATTATCGGTTTTGTAGGGTTGGTTTTCACCTGGTCAAGTATTCGTATTGGACGAATACTGTGCTCGTTATATGGTTCGCGGTTGCTATCGGCACGTTTTTCTTCTCAATGATTTGCTCAACAAGGCTGATGAGGGTTTCCTTATTGATCCTACACTTTTGCATTATTCATTTGCTTTTTGCGCTTCTCATGTCCATGGCAATAGGTACTTGCTTAAATAGCCTTATTACTATCATTTTTAGTTTAGAGCTGTTTTATTTTGTTAATTTTAGCAAATAATACGTAGGATAATGGTCTATCATATAAGTTGACTGATTATGGGCTTCAGGTATGACATGTTTCTTCCCCAGGCAGAACTCGAAAATACTCGAATGATCCAAACATTTGAGCTGTATTTTAGCTCATTCATAGTCTAAACTATTTAACTCTGACTGGAACATCAACTTTGATAGTAATTCTTCTGTTAGCTTAAAATTGTTGTGATCTGTTTGGTTTCTAGACCTTTGAAGATATTTGGAAAGCCAGTCATAACTTTTATAACTTGCGGCATATCTAGGTTAAGTCACTATCTAGGAAGAGATTCTGGTAAAATCATTAGACTGATTTCTTTATTAAAGCAAATAAATTTCTTCAAATATTTTCAATACACCTTATTTCCACGTTTTGTTGAGACAGTGCTTTTAAAAACTTTTGTACTGTATTTTTGATTTTAGACCAGATGGGGTTGGAACTGTTACATTAGAAGAGAAAGAAAAATTCCAGGATGTGAAGGAAAGATTAAGAACGTTGCTTGAAAAGCAGATTACAAATTTCAGGTACTGATTTTGTAAACAGTGTTATTCATTTCACTATAGCACTAGATGATAATACAAATATTTCTGAACAAGTTAAAAATTTATTTGATATTGTTTGTATTTCATAAAATTACCTCTTCTCACAGGTACTGTTTTCCTTTTGGTCGACCTGAAGGTGCATTGAAAGGAACGCTGTCGCTACTTGAAAGAGTTTGGTGTCATTATTTCTTACTGTTTGTCACAAAATTTAGTTTATTTGAGTATGCATTTCCTTATTATGTAAGTAAGGATCATTTATATATATATAGGTGCTTATGAAGGATGTTGTCTCACCTGTGCCTCCAGAAGAAGTTCGAAACGTAATCCGAAAGTGCCTTCAAGATGCAGCCTTAGTCAATTATACCCGAATCTGCAACGATGCAAAGCTTGAGCGTGAGGTTTTACGCCAAGGTTACTCCAACAAACAGTTACAAATTCTGCATGCAGTGCTATTTTCAAAATACATTTCGCTAGTACATTGTAACTGTGTAATTTTTCAAAGGGAAAATGTCCAGTAAATTTTGTGGATTTCAAAAACTTTTTAGCTAAAGTCTAATCTCAAGATTCATTCTTTTTTTTTTTGAAAAAATTTTATTATGAATATTTGAATTTTCTTCTGTGACGCCATAAGTGTACAAACTTATTGAGATATATAATACGTGAAAATTTGCAGAGAAATATTTGCTGCTAGAATCAAAAATTTTTTTAATCGTAGGGCTAAATATGAAAAGTTTTTTTTTGATGAATTAGATTTGTAAACATAGTTAATGCTATTTTTGTTTTATATTATTGAATGAAATGAAGTTTCCAGAACGTATGGGTGTGGATGTGAGCCCTCAACAGAGAATTGAAGACATGATACGGGTTACTGAATTTTGCATTGATCTGTTGCGAGAGAACGAAGAATATCACGGTGATGTATGTGTTAAATTTTTCAAATTATTCTTCCTTTTAAAAAATAATATTAAATTTGGTTTTAATTGGATAAGAATGTCATACCTATTGATTCAAAGGCATTTTCTTGGTTCAACGATCTTCTTGCTGATCATTCCGAAATCTTTTGGTCGTTATACTCAGTAGATCTAGACGCAGCGTTAAGTGTGCAACCACCTGATTCGTGGGATTCTTTTCCATTGTTCCAACTACTAAATGATTTCTTGAGTAGTAACTGTAAGTTTGTTTTTTGTAGCAGATCTGTATGAATAGTGATTTTTCAACTCTGTTTTTTTGGGAAGGCATGACAAGACTACACTGATGCAGTTATTTGCTATTATCATTTGTTGTAATAATGTTGTTAAGTTACATTTAAATAACTTTATCTTTTTTTTTCAGCCCATCTCAAAAATGGAATATTCCATACTAAACTAATACAACAGTTCTCATCTAAAGTTGTGCGATATATAGATTTAATGGAACATTCCATTGCACAGTCAATTGAGAAAGGTTTTGCTCGAGAAAAATGGGAAATGCGAAAGTTAGCTAGCTTTTTTTAAATACGAACACGTCCGTTTACTTTCACGCTTTGCAATTCAACGCTGCAATTTTTTTTGTTCAGCATAATAATTCTTGAAATTTCAACCTTTACCTAATATGATTAAAAATATTTGAGGGATGGTTGTGCAACATCGGAAGATACTTACTGGAAACTGGATGCTTTACAGCTTTTCATACAGGATTTAAACTGGCCTGAGGAAGAGTTTGCAAAGTATTTACAAGTTAGAATGAAAGCATTAGCCAGTGAAATGATTAACAAATGTGCAAATTGGTATATTCTCATTTCCAAGCAGTTTATAGAATGGAAGAGAATTTATGTTTATAAAATCCAATTTCTCGTGTTTCCATTTTAATCATAAGTTTTTAAAGTATTGGTATGAAATAATTTCAGTACTTATCAATGTTTTGATTCATACATGCAGCGTGCGCGTAAGTCGACGGATTATGTTTTACCCTCAGAAGTTTGCATTATGATCAACGTGATTTTCTCATCAAAATCTCGTGCAACTAGAATTGAACTGGATTCAGGAGAAGTGCGTTCATCAAATTCAGTTTCATAAATATAGCAGTAATTTGAAACTTCGAAGTCAGCAAGTTCAGTTTTAAATCAGAATCTGAGTCCATTTGATAATTTATAGTTAAGTAATCGTCTAATCTTTTCATTTAAATTAATGTTTAGTTCAGTAAATCATTGAATAGAATTGATAAGTATCATTTCCAGGAATGAAATGAAACATATTTTTGTGATGAGCTCCTTTAATACATTGGATTTTTTATAGTAGGCAGTTTCAGAATGACTTCTTTAAAATTTTATTGATTTCGTACATCTAAAAATATTTCATCATTCATAGAATTATTTCTGATTACTTTTAGTAGAATTCTTATTTTCAGTACAAATATCAGTCAAAGTTGGATGAAACTCTGGATACCATGCTAAAAGATATGGAAACGTGTATCGAAGATAAGGTACTTGTTTAAATTTGGCTTTCAGGAAATCGTAATTACGAAGTATAAGTCAATCTCAATAATTGAGCAATCGATGTTAGATATTTCAAGTCTGTTTGTAAGCAAATGGTCATCTTCAACAGAATTTGAGCGGAATGAAAAGATATTACCAATGGTAAAGAAAAAAACATTTTCATTCTCAGTATACTCATCCGAGAATTCTGAATTATTCAACACTCAGTATCTTAATGCTTCAAACTACTGACTGCTGAAGGCAAAAGTAGTAAAGATCTGAACGGGTTTCAGCTGTTATCGATTTTGGATTATGTTCTATCACGATTGACCCGTTATGACGAAGGAAATCCTATTGGAGCTATTCTCTCGATTGCGGTAAACTCTCAAACTATTGAATCCCTAATCCCTTTTCAAAAAATTGAATAAAGCATCATTGAAATTAATTGCAGCCTAAACCCACGACTATCTTTAACAGAATGAAAAATATAGTCAGCGATCAAAGCATTGTTGGTAATTTAACAGGCAATGCTGCATCATCTCCACAGACTGCTACAGTATGTCTATAGGCAATTTTTTTCATATTTGCATGACACTCGCAGAACTAAAAAATTGAATATTTTAGCCTCATAAAAATGCGTTTTTTTCTCAGAAAGCCACTCAGTCTCAAAACTCGGGTCATTTTGGACATTCTTATGTGACATTTATGCGTATTTGTACGGAGCAACTGCGACAGGTTGTGGTAGATGAACTGTGGGTCAATGCATTGTTTGAAGTAAGTCACAACATTTCGTATAAAATGACAACTAACTTTACAAACATTGAATTGGTGAAAAAAGAACTAATTTAATAGAGAGGGACTTTTCAACAGTTATTAGGAATATGACAGTTGTAGTGATACGAACTACTTGTTCCCTGTAATGAGATGTGAGTTATAGATGAATTTCTCATCATGAAATAATAACCTTGTTGTTTGTAATTTTAATTGAATTAATGCGTCAGTTTTGCGCCGAAAACGTTCTGTTCTCATTTTGATCTCTTTAATAAAGGGATGGACCCATAACTGCGTTGCTCGAGAGATTTATAAGAGAGAAGTTTTTTTACAAACTCTTCCCCTGGTTTTCCTAAAACCCATTACAAATTTTTGAACTTCAAATTCTTTTGCTCTACTTGCGAACTATTGAGACATTTGTCAACTAATCAAGCATACAAGATCATGTTTTTAGCACTGGTATGATGGCCAAATGAACATGATAAACGAATGGTTGACTGAAAGATTGCAGCAGTCACTTTCTCCATATCAGTTAACATGTCTTTTATTCATGGTCAAGGTAAATTTGAGTTTGTTGAGGATAATTCTAGCATATTTTTGTCACTACATTAATTTCTTTTTTCATGAGGTACACACTATCTTCAAAATTCTTTTTATATTTATAATTAGGGCTTCATTGTACTAAAAAAAAATGCAAAACTGGAAAATATAGCTCATGTAATTACATAAATCATAACTTCTGTATCATAATTTATAGAAAATATACTCGGATTCGGAACTACAAGGTATTGATGAGGAACGACTAAATAGCAAAACATATCAATCCATATCAAGAAGATTACAAATTGAAGAAGCAAACTGTGCATTGAATGATCGTGCCTCAAGTCATGCAAGCACATCAGTTAGTAACCACGCCCTCATTGATAACGCTACTCAAGCTGTTACGAACGTCGGTAGTTTAGTGGAGGGCGCTAGTGCTAAAATGTTTTCACTTTTCAGATAAATCCATCGTAATACCTGAACTACACTCCAATATCAGTCTAAAAAACTTCTACTGAGTCCGTAGCTTTTAAATAGTTTTCTATCACTAGATTGAAAAATGATGTTCTCCTTTTTTGTCACAGTTGTTTTTTCTGAGCTCGAAATAGACTGAAACATGAAACAATCGTTCAGATTAAATTTTTGCAATGATTAGCAACACTACACCCACATGATTTTTTGTGGCTTTCTCAATATAGCTGTCATTTCACGAGAAACGGAAAAACTGCTTGCTTACAACTCCTGAATCTGTCTTATATAAAGTATCTCAATGCAACTTCCCATCACATTCCTTTACGCTGATCATTTTTTTCACCGAGCTATTTGCAGGCCTTTTTTGTGGTCAAATTGGAAGTCTGATGTAACTTATTCACGCCAGTTTGATATTTACTGTTAATGTTCTTAATTAGTTTATTATTACTGTAAAATCCTTGCGTACTTCCTTAGTGTTTATAGCAATCATAATTTTATAGCACATTCATATTCATGTTATAGTTGACATTATAAATGACAATAATATAGCAAATATGTGCCACGAATTAAACACGACTGCAAAATCTCACTTTTTGTTGAAAAACAATAGAAACAATGCATTCTCAAATTGTAGAGTAAAACCTAATCATACAATGAAGAATGAAGAAATTTGGCCGGAACAAGAAAGTGCGAGTACTTATGCAAAGATTACCTTAACGACACTACCAGCTTATGTAATAAGGAAAACTTCAACGACTACTTAAATTCTGATCAAGAAAACTACAGTGATGACCTCATCTTAAAACTCACTGGAAGCAAAATTCTGATTTCTTTAAATGCTAAATCTATATTTCGATTTACCAAATGAAATTCCTCTGAAATAATCAGATTTACAGGGTTCGAATTCATTTTCGCTCATTTTATAAGGCCATATAATTGCCTTTCCGTTTTTTTTCCTGCCTGGTAGATCCTTTTATCAAGAATTTTGGATTTTGATAACTTGAAAAGTGACTTACGAAACTAGGTTGCATCACAAATCCCATCTTGTTTGCTGTCATAGTTCAAAAAAATATGAGGAATAATAGTAAATTGCAATTTATAGCAAATAATGGCAATGGCGCGCAGAAAAAACAAATAACTATAGCACTGATGAACGATACACGCAAGCAAATGCTATAATGGTAGTATACAAGAGACTCAGTACAATCTTACAATGCAAATTCTGTTCACGCAACAAATAATAATGGTGGCACTGACCTCAAATTTAAAGATAAAATTTGGAACGACGGGACTAGTTCATACGATCAGTTCCTACGACTACTAAGTAAAAATACAACCTCTATGTTGGAACTCAGCAAAATGAACGCAAGATAAAACAACAGCAACATCGAATTCGTCTTCGCAGCAGTATGCCCAAAGGCAGCTGTAGCAAAAAGTACGAGACTTTGTAGTTAAAATTGCTCGATTTATTCCTTAAGGAAGTTTTATATAACACATTATTAAAATCGGTAAGATGTTTTAATATCTGCTAATAGGTTAATGATTTTTGTAAAGAGGCATTCACAAAACAACAGTAACAGTAAAGTGCAGGATAAATAAGCCATGAAAATACGATTTTCTGATAAACTGTAGAGACGTAAAAAGGCTGAATATGCAGCTTGACAGTGATTAGAAAAACAGGTTTCGGAAATTTTGATGAAAAAAATACATCGTAAGTCCTAATACTTTTTCCATTAATATAAATCATTCTCACAAATCAATTCTATGGTGACACCAATAACCTGGACTTTTATATTTTTATTTTTTTAATAGACATTTAACTACGTTTTGATATGATTACAATGCAAATGAACTACAAACTTTAACAAACTGTATGATACAGCGTGACACCTGGCACTGAAAAATGTCAAAACAAAGTATAAACTTATGCAGCGTAACTACAACAATGTACATCCATTACATATACCATGTGGACTATTTTTAAAATATATAT